TCAGAGTAATCGCACCCAAATTCCACTCCCACAATTAGTACTATCATAGCTTGAAGGACAATGCTCTAATTACGACCATATATATTTTGTCTTATCTTGCTTCTAATATTGAAATGCTGTGACTCTCTTTAAAGCCTTGCCTGCACTGGTTTCTATGGCAATCACATGTACCTCACATGTACCACACATCTACACACATACTTCACCTTTACCCTGATTGATGAATAATAAAATTCGGTGAAGGAGATGGGCCCAGTGCCTTTTGCCAAAGGAGCACTGGCCGTCGCAGTTCACTTTCTCTAACTCTGTCTTTAAGTTTTTCTTCAACCTTGCATCACACTGGGCAGGTGGGGACTACACACTTGCTGCAGGAGTCTCTGGCAACCTTCTGCATGTTATCATGGCCTTGCCAGATACTGAACACTGTGCCCATGGAATCCCTAAACTTCTAGAAATTACAGCCATCACCAGGGTTGTAGCTCAGTGGTACCGTTGCCTGCTTCACAAGTGCAAGGACCTGAGTTCGATCCCTGGTACCAAAAAAAAGAAAGTAAAAAAAAATTACAGCCATCTAGTCTCTGGTGTCCTTTTATAGCAACAAGAAATGGACCAAGACACTTCCCTTTCCATCCATAAACACACAAAGGCATAAAGAAAAGGGGAGACCCCTCAAATGGTATATTCCAAAAATGGTAAGAACAGTTAACACTGGATAGGATTATGGGTAACCTATCTCCTAGTTTGTGCTTTTTCTTGTGTTTTCTACATTTCCTGCAGTAAACATACTATTTTATATAATAGAAAGCATTAATAGCACAACATATATCCTTCTGTGAGGTCCTCAGTACTTATATTAAAAAGTCCCAAACTCTCTCTTATGTTCTCAAAAACCTTATTTAATACGCTGTAAGGAACATTTTTTTTTTTTTTCAGTACTAAGGATTGAAACCAAGGCTTTCACACTGAACTATATCCCCAGCTCTTTTCCATTTCTTATTTTAATTTTGTCTTATTGTGTTGTTTTCTGAGACAGGGTCTCACTATATAGTTGAGACTGACCTGGAACTCACTATGTAGCCCAGGCTGGTCTCAAACTCACAGCAATCCTCCTGCCTCAGTCTCCCAAGTGCTGCGATTATAGGCATGCACCACCACGCCCAGCTTGCATTTATTTTGAGTCTCACTAAATTGCTAAATTCGCCATAGTGAACTCAAGCTTGTGATCCTCCTGCCTCAGCCTCCTAGAGTGTGGGATTACAGGTATGTGCCATCATGTCCAGCAAGGAGCACATTCTTCTAACTTATACTGTGCCTTAAGACTTAGCTATACTAACCAGCTACTAAACTTTATGTCAATCTACGCTTTCCCTAACTTTCCTCTTCCTACTCTATTCCCAACTTTTTATTCCACTGCCACCAATTATTTCAGGGCTCAGTTCCATCAGTCCTAATATAAACATGATATAAATGGAAAAACAGATTTGTCTGAGTCTCGTTTTTCTCAATTGAAAGGCCTGTAGGGGCCAGGGATTTAGCTCAGTGGTTCTGCTGCCTTCCTCGCAACTGCAAGGTTCTGAGTTCAATCCCGGGTACCAAAACAAAGGGGGGGGACTGCTTTTCTAGTTAATGACTGGACAAATTATCCAAAGCCTCTGAAATTCAAATCTCATTTCAAATGGCAATAATTAAACAACAGATGATAAAACAAAGGGCCTAGCGCAATGTGTTACTCACTTCCATTTTATTTGTAAAGGATACATGTGGTTCACATTTGCAGCAGTGATTAAAAATAAAAAATAAAAATAAAAAAGCATTTTTTACTCACTGTTCACTCTGGAACACAAAGGCCAGAGAACATTAATCAAGAAACAGCCTTAGCAGAGTGTGGGGGCAAAGGTTTGTAACCCCAGCAGTCTGGTGGCTGAAGCAAGAGGATCACTGTGAGTTCAAATTCAGCCTGAACAGTATAGTAAAACCATGTCTCAAGATAAAACAAAACACAACAGGCTTAGACTCAGTTATCACATTTCCTCAGTCTCCTTAAAAATTTAGCTTTTTTCCACCACCCCTTGTTCCATTTTTTTTTCATTTTTTTGTACAAATTGCAGAAAATTATGATTTTCATCTATAACTGTTTTTTTCTACCATTCCAAAGTTCAGGGTCAGGGATTTAGCTCAGTGGTGCGGGCTCTTGCCTGACAAGTGCAAGGTTCTGAGTTCAATCCCTATACCAGAAAAAAAAAAAAAAATCAATCCTCTGATCATATCTCTAATTTAAATTCCTGTATTATAATTTGTAAATCAAGCCAGGCATAGTGGCACAATCTATAATCCTAGCTACATGGGAGGCTGAGGCAGGAGTATCCCAAGTTTATGACCAGCCTGGACAAATTAATAAGGCCCTGTCTCAAAATTTAAAAAAAAAAAATTAACAAAAATCCTAAAATAAATTTATCTTTCTCCCCATTCTGGCCTTCCAACATTCCCTATGGCACTATTACTTACCAAAGACAGAAACCTGAGAGACATCTATACTTCCCTTGTATCCCTTTTCCTCCATATTCAAGTCTTGCAATCCACCTCAAATTTTAACTCCACCTGCATTCCAAACTGCCAGGCAGTTTCATGCCTTAATGCTTTTGAACAAATTATTACCTCTCTCTAGAAAATCTTCCACTTCTTTGTTTAACTTTTCTTGACCTTTAGAAGAATTTTCTCATCTAAAAGCAAAAGGTAACTAGAATCTATTAATACTGTACTCTAACCATTGTACAGAAGTTTGCATAAGTTGTCTAATATTCTAAATACAGTACTGAGGTAGGTGCTACTATGTTTGTACAGATAGGAGGTCTGAGCAGTAACTCATGGAGGTTATATATAAATAAATAAATAATAGAAATGAAGTCAAAGCCAGGTGTGAGCCCAGTATACAAGAATGCTCTTACCCAACCCACTATATCATAGTTCTCCCTTCTACCTACCTGCCAAACCCCAGGTAGGAGTCTCTCTTCTGTCATAAAGGGACACAAATCTTTATTTTCTTTTCTGAAATAACTCTCGGAGCACCATTAAGACTGCTTCACTTACTTGTTTCCTTCCATACAGCAGAATGCCTCGGTACAGTGGTGGCGAACCTATTGCAAGTATGCTGCAGCCAGCTGTTTGTTATCATTGAAGCTCTAAAAAGTTTTGCCATCACTGGCCCAGGACATGGCAGACCCACAAAATAAATTAGATTCTTTCACCTTATTATGTTATAAATCACCTCCTCTTTTCCTCAAATGCCACAGCACTTTATACTTTTCTTAGAAAACTTATCCTCTGGACTGGGAATGTAGTTCAGTCATAGGTAGAACACTTGCCTAGCATGCTCGGGGCCCTGGGTTAAATCCTCAAGGCCACAAAAATAAAAACAGCTTCTGCCTCCACTAGCTTTTTGCACATGGTAGTTACCCACCAGATTATGCTCTTTGATGGTAGAATAGTTTTGGGTTACTTTTGTGTGTGTGTGTGTGTGTGTGTGTGTGTGTGTGTGTGCACACACTGGACATGGAACCCAGGGCTTTCATACTAACCTACATACTTAGTGCTTTGTTTTAAATACTAATTTTTAGTTTCTTGAGACAGGGGTCTTGCTAGGTAGTTCAGGGTGGCCATGAACTCAGTGATCTTCCTGCCTCAGTCTCCTGAGTGCTGTGATTACAGGAATGCATCACCAAACCCAGCACTTTTATAGTTTATTTTGAGACAAGGTCTCCCTAAGTCAATAAACTGCCCAGGCTGGGTTCCTACTTGTGCTCCTCCAACTTCAGTCTCCCTGAGTGCTGGGTTTATAGCCTTGGGCACCCCACCCAACTGCAGAAGAATTTTTAAAAATCTTTAACAAATACCTTTCAACAAACACCTTTCAATACACAACTGATTAGTGAATCTATGATTAAAATATTATAACTAACCAGGCACGGTGGCCCATGCCTGTGATCCCAGCACCTGGGAGGCTGAGGGGGGAAAAACACCGTGAGTTCAAAGCCAGCATGCACTACATAGTGAGTTCAAGACTAGCCTAAACTACATAGTGGGACCCTGTCTCAAATCATAAAATAAAATACTGTAACTTGCATAACAGGTTCCTGCCGGCTTGACCCTACTGATGTTACATGTAATATTGTCCTATTGGCTAGCCAGGTGATACAAACGGATCTAATCACTTTTAGCGGTCTTTTCACTAATAAAAGTCATCAAAACGCTACCCGATGAGACAGTCATGCATTCACCACCAATGCTTCAAGCCACCGGGCAGCGAAACATACAAATGACAGACCCGTCGTGAACGTGCTAACGGTCTTCATTTCTACCATGTAGATTTCTTCCCACCCCATTAAACGGTAGCCCTACTATTAACAACCCACGATTTCCAAGCCACAAAGACCCTTCTGATTAATTTGTCACGCCATACATTTCCCTAAGTCAGGAAACTGGTAGGGTTGATGGTCTCTAAAGAAAGTCAATCGACTAATGACTCCCTAATCAAAATAGTATAGAACCCTGGACCGTTGAAGTGAGTCACATGGCTCTGCAGAATGACGACGACTGTCAACGCGGTTTCAGGATCACACGAAACAGACTATACAATCAGCCAGCTGACTAGTCCTCTGGGCTTCTTTAGGAGCTGCCATGGCCAATCATACTGCGTTCAGGATGCTAAAGAGTGGTGGGGAAAGCGACGATCCATCTGTCCTCAGACATGGGCATCTTCCCAGATCCTGCGTGTCAGGCTTCCCCCTCCCCCAGGCACCCCAGCACCCGGGGGCGTGGCTCTCACCTACTACCCGCCTACTCTCTCCCTAGAGGTTCAGCCGGCTTCTCCAAGACCCTCCCTCCGGGTGGCCAGGCAACATGGGAAAGCAGTAAAGGCTAGCAAAGCGGCAGACACACCCTCCCCACCTTGCATGGACTCCAAACCCACCCAGGTGCCCTCTGGCGCGCTCTCGCCTCCTCACCTGCTCGGCCGACACCGCCCCCTTCCCCGCGCCGCTCCCGCTGCTCTTGCCTGTGCGACCGCTGCTTTCCGCCATCTTCGCCTCCTGCCAGGCTTCCGCCCTGCGTAGCTCCACCCCCTGCGTCACATCCGGTCCTAGCGTTACCACCCACTCCTCCGGGTTCCGCTGGCTCCTGGCAGCTTCTCGAGTCGGATCCTGTGAATGGTTTGGCCGCATTTTCATGTAGGAGCTAGTCCCTACCCCTCCTGCTGCGGTGAATTCTATCTGCGGTGCTTTAACTTGTGCAACAGAGATTTCCGCCCCAGGGAGAGGCGGGGAAGGCGGGCTACTCAGGGTGGGGGGCTCGGGCTGGGGTCTGGCCCTGTGCCTCTGGCGCACCTTGGATTGGTAGGGGGCGAGGGAGAGTGAACTTCCCCACGGAAGTTCTGGAGGGAAATATACTTTGAGCCTATAAACTGCGAACGCACAATCGAGAGACAGGAAAAGTAAGGTCTCCCCGAGGTGACTTTTGGACTGCGGAAGGAAAGGGATTCAGTTTATTTTGAGGTCACTGGAAATTGAGATATCCAGGCACTGATCACAGTCTCCTCTATCTCCCTACCTTATGATCTCTTCTCATAGCCTATACTTACAGTAAAAAATGTTTTTGAAGACTTGGGGGTGCCTTTACTGTCAGGGCCCTGATTCAAACTCACAATATGAAAGGAGATATCAGAACCCTAGAAATGTATTTCTTCCAGGGGGTTGATGTTCTGATTTCTCACCTTCCACAGGCTGGGCTTTATTGCCAACCAGCTCCTGTCCTCTCTGTGTCCTGGACTCCGGATACGTGGACTCTCAGTACTTTGTGCTCAGCCCAGGTAACATGTTTTGTTCTGTCCTCAGTGCCTGGTGCGTTGTAGATACTCTGTTAACTGGGTGGTGGGAGACATCAGCCATCCACAGAACATTTGATAGAAAAGCACCACTGGCCCCTGGGTTAGTATTCTGTAAGAGCATCGTCAAAAGAAAGTCCAGTTTTCCTGCTCCCGGTTTGAACCTGTCATTAAACTTGGGATTCTTCGTGCTAGAAATCTGAGAACCCTGCCTATGCAATCCACAGGCCCAGAGCTATGGCTAGCTCCTCTTCATCCTGGGAACTGCCCTTAGTGGCTGTGTGCCAGGTAACATCAACACCGGACAAACAACAGAACTTTAAAACATGTGCTGAGCTGGTTCGAGAGGCTGCCCGGCTAGGTGCTTGCCTGGCTTTCCTGCCTGAGGCATTTGACTTCATTGCACGGGACCCTGCAGAGACCCTGCGCTTGTCTGAGCCACTGGGTGGGAACCTTTTGGAAGATTATACCCAGCTTGCCAGGTATCAGGGAATGGGGAGGGAGTAGAATCTTTGCTGGCCCGTTTCCCTGGATTGTCAGAGGGTAGAGCCTTGAGAAGAGTTGTCAGTGTCCCCTCCCCCCCAGGGAATGTGGACTCTGGCTGTCCTTGGGTGGATTCCATGAGCGTGGCCAAGACTGGGAGCAGACTCAGAAAATCTACAATTGTCATGTGCTTCTGAACAGCAAGGGTGAGCCATCATAACCCTTTAGCCTGCCTCCCCGGCTCTTCTACCTAAACTTGGATTCTTTAGAGCTCTCATTCCTCTTTTTTTCTTGGTCCAAGGTTTTAGGGGTGCTTGTAATTCTGAGCCTGCAAACTGTCTCCTCCTTAGGAGGAAGAGTAGCTAAGCTCAGCTTCTAAAGCACCAGCAATGAGCATTTCTTCTCCCTCTTACCCTAGGATCAGTAGTGGCCACTTACAGGAAGACACATCTGTGTGACGTAGAGATTCCAGGTCAGGAACCTATGTGTGAAAGCAACTCTACCATACCTGGGCCGAATCTTGAGTCACCTGTTAGCACCCCAGCAGGCAAGGTAGGAGTTGTGAGAATGAAGGTGAGAGGGGGAAAGGGAGGGGAACAGGAATACACTGAAGTGCTAACAGAAGATAGAGAGCCCCAAGGAGAGGGACCATGGATGTACTAGATACTGTGACAGACAGGATGGGGACGCAAAGTATGCTGCTTTTCATTTCAGATTGGCCTAGCTATCTGCTACGATATGCGGTTCCCTGAACTCTCCCTAGCATTGGCTCAAGCTGGAGCAGAAATACTTACCTACCCTTCAGCTTTTGGACCGATTACAGGCCCAGCCCACTGGGAGGTAAGAGAACACCTCTTCAAACAGGACTTTCTCTTAACTTTGTTCCCTCCACACCCCTTGGCTTTACAAGTTGATTTTCTTCCTCTTCCCACCCAATGAGAAAATTCGTTCCCCCAGAGAATTGTGGCTTATATGGTACAGAATAATGTAGTAAATCACTAAGTCATTCTTAGGAAATTATCAGAATGGTCACAATGGGTAGAGTGCCCATTTCCTGTCACTTCCCCACTAGCTGCTTTGTTCTTGTTTCCCATCTCGTCCTCAGGTGCTGCTGAGGGCCCGTGCCATTGAAACCCAGTGCTATGTAGTGGCAGCAGCACAGTGTGGACGCCACCATGAAAAGAGAGCAAGTTATGGCCACAGCATGGTGGTGGACCCTTGGGGAACAGTCATGGCCCGTTGCTCTGAGAAGCCAGGCCTCTGCCTTGCTCGAATCGACCTCAACTACCTGCGACAGGTGCGCCAACATCTGCCTGTGTTTCAGCACCGCAGGCCTGACCTCTATGGCAATCTGGGTCACCCACAGTCTTAAGGTTTTTGACTTCTGCGAGATTTGAGACCCCCCCACTGTGAGGTGCTCCTGTTGTGACTTGTAGGCAGGACCCAAGCACAGATCCCCTCACTTGGAAAACCTTGACTGTCTTGATGGAACACAGGCCCAACTTCTCGGGAAAGGAGAAGGCTTTCACCTGAGCTCAGATTTCAGTTTCAGAAAAGTGAAATTTTATATAGTCACTGTTTATTTCATGAAAACTGAAGTTACGTTGAGGGCTGACCAGCACTAGCATTGAAAGAAATATAATAATCAAAGTCTGTGTCTGGACATCTCCTTTGGGAGCTGGACGGGGAGGTGGTATCGTACCTGCTGGACTAGGCTCCAGTTCTAGGCCTCCTGGCTCATTCAACATAACTCCCTACCTAAAAAAGTGCAACACTCAGTGCATGTCCCGGCCCCATTCTCCCAGGCCTGGGAGTGGGTGGGTAGGAGAGGGGGAAGGAAAAAGGAGTCAATACTGATTACTTCCCCTTCTCCTATGGTGCCCTTTGCCCAAGCCAGAAGAAAGCAAAGGGGAGAAGGGCTGCAGGGTATGTTATTTATTTTCACTTGAACATGGAAAGTGTCACTTCCCCTTCCCTATTTAGGGGGAGTGTATTTCAATCAGCAGCCTCTTCCCCATCCACCCTGTGTATGTGTACACACATACATCACAGTCGGGAGGGGTGATTAGGCTGACCAAGTTCACTTATGTTATATGTTACTCCCTTGAAGAGGGACTGACAAAAGGGAGAGAGGAAGGAGCCACACCAGGCAGCAGTTTGAATGGAGAAAAGGCGGCAGAGAGGAGCAGCACCAGAGGCCAGGAGAGAGTGGAAAGGGCCACAGCTTCTGTTTCTTAAAAATTCTGTAATTTGGAAGAGGGTAGTGATTAATTTCCAAAATACACTTCAGAATCCCACCTTCCATACAGCTCCCTTACTCACAGCCCTTTGGTTTTTCAGACAAAATGTAAGAGCCATCATAAAGCCAAAAGTATTGATAACCCCTCAATGCACCCAAAAGCAGTGTTCACTTCAATCCCTTACAAAGACTGTGTCCTATAGACTTTGCATCTCCCTACATGTCTGTCTTACGGCTCAGTGGTGAGGTGGCTGCAGACACACACCGGGGTAGGTGGGAATGAGGACTAGGGTAAGCCCAGGCACATGCGTGCAGAGAGGGCTGGGGAACACCACTTCCACGCTCCTTTGTCTTTTCCTTTAAAAAAAAAAAAAAAAAAA